TAGACGAAGCAAACCTGACCACCTTTATTCTTCAACACAGCCTGAACTCTTTTAGACAAGCTTTCTTGTAATTTTTCTAAGTAGTCTTCAGCAATACTTCTCCTCCATTCAAAGCTCTTATTTAGATGTTGGCTGGCTTTTCTTCTTTTCTCTGTCGAGATGATCCCACAGTATCAGAGACGTTGATGACCAGGCTATAGGGAGACCAATACATGACTGATAGTGTTCCATTGTGCTTTTACTGCATTGGCAGTGTTTTTTTGGATCAATGTCATGCTGAAAAATGATATTGCTGCCCATCTGACGCATGGTGGGTGGAAATCTGACATCTCCAACACCACTGGCTAAAAAATACAGCCCCAAACAATGACAGAGCACCCACTATGTTTTACAGATGGCTGTAGACACTCACTGTTGTACCTCTGTCTGTGATGTACGTCTTCCTCATTTCATAAGACCTGATACTTTTGACTTTTTGTATAGTTCTTAAGTAATTCAGCCTCAGCCTTTTCTCCCTGTTTACTTTCCTTAAGAATGGCTTCTTCACAGCCACCTGTCCACTAAAAACATTTTTTTGACAAAGTCTTTTTAATGATATTTTGGTATATGTGTATTATATTTTATGTTTCCTCATACATAACAACATACAATATGGAGTATATGAATGAAAATAAGAGAACAACTAAAACTAGCTTTTAAGTGAGAAGCAGCCAGTATTTAAAACACCTTCAGAAATCCTGGAGAACTATTGGTCAAACTCAATAAGTAAAGTTTGGCTCCTTGGATGCAAAATATAAAGAAATGAGAGATGGTTGTCATTAGGCATACTGTTAAAACGAGTAGGATTGACTTTAACTGCAGATTAACTGGGAGCACTTCATGCATGCTCGCCAACAGCAAGCCACTATAGCCAGTATATTCCTGCTTTTTCTGACATGACCAAGATTTCAGCTGAAGCAAATCTATCATTTGCAAAAAGGTTTTAGATAATGTCTCACATGAGAGTGATTACTAAGTTAGTCCACAATCACATCAATCTCCTGTTAAATTACTTTTTTTTCTCCATTTAGATTATCTTGTTTATTAGCTACAAACTCTCCATCGTGCCCAGCGTTAAAAGTAAATAGAAAAATCACTTCTCAGCAGAACCATGATGATCTAATGAACACTGCGACCTTGGCGCTTTATAGACTTGAAGTCGTCTCTCTGTCTGTTACGGTGCAATAAGCTGGCCGTCCTTCACTGCATCGAGACATTCTTTATTTGTTCTACAAATACAAAGAATTGGATACGCGGCCACAGCAGAGTCGACATTGCGTGGTGTCAGTGTGATATTAAGAGACACGTCTCTCTCTCTGTCTCTTTCTCACACACACAGACACACACATCAATTGATCCTCAGGCCTCCCCAGCACAAGTAGCTTCCTTTATATTATATCTTATCTTCTCCAAGAGAGTCACACAACTTGTATTTAGCCGGAACTAAAAACACAGTCCCATGTGAAGATTGCACGCAGCGATAGGCTTATCTTCCCCCGCTCACAACCACATGATCAGAAGACAAGCAACAATGGTCCATGACTCTTCAGAGAGCATCATTTAACTTAAAAATCCCCCAAAAGGGTACGTGGCTCCGTAAAGCAACATAAAAGTGAGTGTTCCATCTTTGGAGAATTTTCCACTTACTCAACGTTTATCCTCGTTAAGGTAATAATCCATAACAATTTCAGATGGAGGTCTACTTCATCTGTGCCACAGATGGATTCCACAGTGGTAATGCAGCTTACACGCACTTCATGAAAGCTTTTAACATTTATTTTGCCAGAAAAATCTTTCCAGCTGAATCTTGTTGAGGAAAAGAAATGATGCATATTTCAGGCTGCTCTGGGAATTTAGCTGTAAACAGAAGAACAGGGTAGTTAGCACGAGTAGTGAGGATAACCCAAAAATCTCAGGTTTGCCGGAAATTCAGAATAAAAAGATAAAAAGCAGCAGTGCCCGATGGAGGCCTGAATGAGACCCTGTGCATAAATAGTCAAATGTCACAGCGGTAATGTTCACTTCAGCCTGCATGCATTCAGTTTACATGTTATTTCCTGAACTACCTGACTATTTCTCGATCCTTGCAGAGTGTTTTACTTTACATCTGGGAAAACGAGAATGTCTGACAAGGAAGAAATGGCTTCAGATGGGAGTTTGAACGTTACACTGACGCTGAGGCTGCTGATGCACGGAAAGGTAATGGACATTTGTAAATAGTTGAAATCATTCAGTGCATTTTTGTTGTAATAGCCTAACGGTCTCGTAATAGCTTTTAAAATGTTTACATCCTGCTGAAAAACTGTTGAGAGAAGTCCCGCTGTTATCTTTTCATCCGCAGGAAGTTGGCAGCATAATTGGGAAGGTAGATTTATTTTACAATCCATCACCATTTATAGATTTTTTGGCTGTTTTATTTCTGTTTGTCTTGTTATATTCCTCTTATAAATCCAATCTAACCGACTTCTTTTCCTGCCTGATTTCAGAAAGGAGAAACAGTCAAGAAAATGAGGGAGGAGGTGAGTGTTTGCTTTGACATCTGTAATGAGAAAGGGCGGATAATTTCACGTTGTCAGGCAGATCGAATCAAATCACAGCTGGAATAACCGCGGGGCTTTGCTTCCAGAGTGGCGCTCGCATCAACATATCAGAGGGCTCGTCCCCTGAGAGGATAGTCACCATCACAGGACCTACAGAGAGCATCTTTAGAGCCTTTTCCATGATTGCGCAAAAGTTTGAAGAGGTATGCCCAAAAGCATGAAAGACACTGGCTGCACCTTTTCTCCAGTCTTGCATCACAACACGCGCACACACACACAAAAAGACCTGTCAAATAACGCTGATGTTCCGTACAGTCGACACTGAAAAACAACATCTTTTGGAAATCTCCCTCAGGATATTACCGCAGCAATGACAAACAGCAACGTGACAAGCAAGCCACCTGTGACACTTCGCCTGGTTTTCCCGGGGAGCCAGTGTGGCTCACTGATTGGCAAAGGAGGCTCAAAGATCAAAGAAATCCGAGAGGTATGAGTCGTTTTCTTTCTTTTTTTTCATGTTGCAGCAGGAAGTTGTTTTTTTTGCACCCAAACAAGCACAGAAAACAGTCTCCCTGGCACTCTGACACCCTGAGTATCAAACACTCAAGTCAAAATCTTCTTGTTTTTCTCTGCCTTAAACTACATGAAGCTATGTGTATGCTTTCTGGAGGGGTGGCGGGGAGGGGGGTGGGTGAAAATCCCATTGATTATGCCTGCGAGGATGAGCAGGGCCTGAATACTCATTCCGAATGGACAATATTTGTGTGCGCCTCTTCAAATATTGGAGCGCACATTGCTATTTGGCTTGCAGCTGCTCCCTGCATGTCAAAATGTGTTCAGGATAATTTGTGGGGTGCTCGAAACGGCATTTCAATCTGGGTGATGGCGTGCTCTTTTCAGCAATAAATAGCCTTTGTATTTTCTGTTGTCTGGTGATGTTAAGACCACAGGCGCTCAGGTTCAGGTGGCAGGAGACATGCTGCCGGACTCCACAGAGAGGGCTGTCACAATCTCCGGCACTCCACAGGCCATCACTCAGTGTGTAAGACACATCTGCTCTGTGATGCTGGAGGTAAGCGCTGTCAGCCAGCAGATGATCTTCACGTTCAGCGGCTCTATTTAGAAGTCAAGTATGTCACATTTATTTAGAGAGCAGAGGAAGGTAGTAAATTCAGGATGTCTTCAAAGCTAAAGCCCAGATAATTTATATTGATAGTTCTTAACCTTGTCTGTCTGATATACCCAGACGTGTATTATATAACAAACATATAAAACTGGATATTGATGCAGTACTTTTCCCATATCGTTAAAATGTCAGCGTTTAAATTACCACTGTACTGTCAAAGCCTCTTCACGTTTTTTTAGACCCCGTTTTAAACTTTTCTCACACTGCCCATCGCAGCACATGCTCTTAATGTATTCTGAGGAGCTTTGAGTTTGGATTTTGGGTTTAGTATCCACTTGACCTCTTTCTATTTTGATCAAAAACTTGCCAATTCCCCATTTTCAGCTGTGCTCCCAGTTGTATCGCAGTTTTCTTTGGTCCGATCTTTTATGTTACTTTCTCTGCAGATGAATGGGATATAAAAAGATTCAGGCAGTGCTATAAAGGAGGATATAAAACGCATCAATGCCAGTGAGAGTTCTTTTTCTCAGCTGCGCCAGTGTATAAATTTTCTCCCTTTTTGGTTTGCACGACTGTGTCTCCAGTCTCCACCGAAAGGCGCAACTATTCCCTACCGTCCCAAGGTCGTACCTGCTGGAACCCATGCAGTATTAGCACCACAGCACTCTGCACAAGTAAGTAGCCATAGGGGAGTTGTTTAGCTCTGAATTTAGCTTATTTAAAGACACGCAGCAGTTGAGTGGACTTATTATTTTGTGTGATTTCAAAATTTCACTGATCATCAGGGGGTGTTTCTATTACTAAACGGGCAAAACAGTGTAAATATATACAACCATTGATCATATTTACATGCATTTAGCCGAAAATTTAGGAATAACTTGCTTTTACATGAATAATTCACATGTTTACATGTTGTGTCTAAGGCTGATGTTTTCCACGAGCTGCCCAGGCGCTGTCCTGAATTTGGCAGAGTCTGCTTTGACCTATCAGACATCTGTTTATGTTATTGGATTTCCAGCTAATGGTCGGAGAAGGAGGGGGGGGGGAAGGCAGATGACATTTAGATGAAATTCCGTCAGATCTATAAACATTAGAGCCATGGAAAAGGGGAAAGGAATGGATTTTCACTGCACTGACTTTCCTCTTGATGGTCTGTGACAAATTCATTTTTCAAGTAACACGTTATAACATGTCTGCACCACCCGATTACATAACCGTATCTCATCTGTTCTTCCTTCCAGGCCTTTGCAATTCCAGGGCAGTATGCTTTTGCACATCAAGATGTAAGTATGTTCATTTGAGTGACTGACATCAGTCCTAATGACCTACTCCTGCCCACTCCTTCCAAGCCACCGATACGCCCTCTGTGTACCCTACTTTGCGAAGATCAAATTTCAGTAACCCTGATCTGTTGACTTTACTAACACTAACCCACGGTAGCAGCATGCACTGATTGAAATGGAAATGAAGATTTGCAGAGTTCATGATCACTTGTAGCTTTGTAGCTTGAGATGTGACTGTATTTTCAGATGACTGCTATGAGAAGTCAGCATGCTTTCTGAGGAAAATGAATCTCTTGATACTGACACCATGTGTGATGTTTGTGAACTTCAGATTGGCTCTGTTTTGTAGTTGTCAGCTCCTCTGAAATAATCCAGTTTGATTGGTTAGCTCTAACTTCCTTCCTACCCTGCAGTTGACCAAGCTTCACCAGTTGGCTATGCAGCATATCCCCCTCCCTTCCCTTGGGCAGAGCAACCCTACCTTCCCTGGTACGTACCCACGGCTCCCCAGGGAAGTCCATCTATCCCTCTCTCATCACTCCTCTTTGACTCACACCATCAAAACACTGCTGTCACTTCAGTGAGGATCAAGGATTTCTTTGAGAGTAGACGGTGGCTTTGCGGTGATGTGCGCGCATCTGCATTTCATCGATTTTCACAAGAAAATAAGATGAAAAACAAAACAAGAATAATCAACACAATTGTAGGTTTTTAAGGTTAAGCCACCCAGCTTTCTTATTTTTTACCTTGAAAGTTAGTCACTGAAATATTTATCACTGAAAAGAATATGCGACAGACTGAAGCAGACAGAATGATATATAAGCTAAAAAAGGAAAAAAAAACAGCAGCTTTCTCTGACAGGGAAATGTGAAAAATGTCAAAAATATTTACAGTTTAGTAAATATTTAACCATTTCTCACCATTTCTCCCATCAAACCCAAATTTCAGCCCCATTTGCCCAGTTTCCCTCTCCAAAGAAAAACCAAACAAAAACAAATCCTAAGTTTTTGACCCCATCCTCCACCTTTTGCAACATTTCTCCTCCAAATCTAACACTGTCTTGGCCAGACCATCCCTGACCTCAACCACCCCACGTACTCATATATTCCGTCACAACTAACTCAGCACAATACATTACAATATTTTGATTAAATAGCGAGTATTGGTGTGGTAGTCATAGTCAAGCAGCATGCATGTATTATGTATATATGTATTGTCTTTTTAGAATGATTATTTTGCCCTATGCTATTTTCTGCTTCTTAATTTAGCAGTGTAACAGTGATAACCTAGACAAAGTAGGGCAACTTGTCGTGCTATGAAAGTGGAAGCCATTAGTGCCAAACTGTTGGTAGCGCTCCTTGTCCTACTTTGCAGGATTGGATGCATCTGCCCCCACAAGTTCACAAGAGCTGGCAATACCTAATGATGTAAGTGTTACATTGTTTGTGTTCTCCCGGCACTAAAACCTGAACTGATAATCTCCATGCATTTGGCTTCATTAAAACTTTCTAGGAGGACAGCTTTAATGAGGAATTGTTTGGACACAAATGTTTCACCTACTTAGCTGCGGAAATTAAATAGTCCTTGCTTTTGGCTGACATAGATTATTGCAAAAGGAATCCACAACAGATTTATTGAAAAGATGTCTGCGGACGGCTGTTAGAGGACTGTTAACTGTGCTGCTTCAGACACAGACAGTCCTGGTTTCATCTGGACTGAATCATGTCAGAACTTGATGTTGTAGGAAACATCTTTTTGGTAAATGCACTTTTCTTGCTGAGACTTGGATGAGTGAGACTGACTCTCAGGTGTGTAAACAGAAAAACAAAGCCAGCAGCCTGTTAGCTAAGCTTACCATGGAGGCAGGGAAAGGGGGAGAAATACCCAGCTTTGGTCTGTCATTTCTGAATTTTAATGTTGTATCTTGTTAGTTTAATAATGACTGAACCAAACTGTAAAATCAACAAGTTGTAATATTTAATGGGTGTCTATTTCTTGGGCAAAAGAAGTGTCTTTCTTGAGCATTGAGGGAAAATAATGAAGACTCCAGGAAGTCACTGCACCATCCAGTTTCTTACGTATCCAGTTCAGAGTTGCAGAGATCCGCAGCTTATCCTGTCATAGGACGAGAGGCAGGGTACACCATGGACACATCACCAGACAACCATTCACAGCCAATTTAGAATCTCCAATTAACCAAAACCCACACGTGTTTTTAGACTATGGGAGGAAGCAGGAGTACCCCAAGAGAACCCACACAAGTGCAGGGAGAACGTAAAAACTCTAAACAGAGAGGCCCAGCCCTGATATGAACTCAGGACCTTTTTACCATGAAGCAAGAGTGCTAACAAACGTAGCACTACGCTGTCCAAACAAGCAACATAATTAACAAGAACCACCCTGAGAGCACAAACCTCCGTCAAGGCATCTCATTTTCTTACTTTTAATGGACTTCTACTGTATTTTATGCAAGAAGTTAGTAGCGCAGTTAAAATAACACGTTTTGGGGTCAATAGGCAGATCTAAAATGTAAAAGGTCAGAGGTCAGTTATCACTTTGACTTTCAGATCAATCTTTTAACCTTGAAGAAGAGGTCAGAGGTCAAAATCTTTTTTTTTTTTTTACATACCATACTTGTAAGAATCACAATTTTTGAGTCAAAAGGCATTTTTTCCAATTTTTGACCAATAAATCATTAAGTTGACCTTGAAGACCCTGGTAGGTCTAAGCCAAATTTTAATGGATTGTTAACATGACCTCGCTCTGCTCCCCTGCAAAGTTTTATCAGAATTCATTCAAACCTTTTTTGAGCTAATGTGTTTACAGAAAGAATGACACAAACGCTACCAAAAACATAACCTCCTCGGCGGAGGTAATTACTGAGCTTTGGAGGTGGATTTTGCTGACTTCACACATTAGGAATATTAAGGTGTCAGAGTTTCACTGCACTACTTAGTGACCAAAATAATTCACAATGTTATTGCTGCGTTTACAGAAGAGTATAATGAAGTCACTCAGAGTAGATAGACAAGCTATCTACTTCTTTTTTCTATTACATAGCAGGTGGGAACCAGTGATAAGGTGCAACAGCCACTTATTCTCTTTGCACTGTCTCCCAGATAATAACGGCTGCTGCTGAATTATTTACCATATGCATATTAACATGTTATCATATAATTTTTTTAAAATAATTTCTTGTTTATCATCAACACTACTACTTCTACTGCAGAGCCAAGATAGATGCTCCTTCTGTTTCTAATATATCATCCTGCCTTCTCATTTAACTCAGACAAGAAATAAACATATTTGCCAAAATACCAATCAGTTTGTAAAAAATAAAAGCCAATGCTTTAGTGGTGATAAATTATGTATCATCTGTTTTATCTGATGGGCATATTGGACCGTAGATATGCTTTCTGTTGTCACAATAATAAAGAGAAATGTGGTTTCCCTCTACAGAAAACGGCCACGGCGGTTGCTCCCAGGTTCTTTTGTAAAATCTAATTTCTGCATTCCTGTTTTGTTATTCGCATGTTTCTGATCTCCAACTCCCAGTTCATTGGCTGCATAATTGGAAGACAGGGTAGCAAGATCAATGAGATTCGCCAGGTCTCTGGAGCTCACATCAAAATTGCCAGCGCCACTGATGGCTCAGCCATGCGCCAAGTCACGATCACAGGTTCACCAGCCAGCATCAGTGTGGCCCAGTACCTCATCAATGCCAGGTAAGACATTACGCAGGACAGCCACGTCCAGCAGGGCATCACTCGCAGCCTGATGATAAGACAGCCAAACACTGAGCTATTATATTGGGACAGAGATATTGTGCTCAGGGTGAGGCTGGATTTGTTCCAACTCACTGCTCCGTTCTCTTGACTGCATTAAAATCCTTATTGTCTCTGCTTTTTAACACATTCCTTCTTTGATTCTTTTGTTTTCTCCTTTCTCACCTCCCTTATCCTTTGTCTCTCCCCCCCATCCTCTCCCCGTTTTTCTTTCTCCATTTTTCTCCTCTTAACCCTTCACCGTCTCCAACTACCCCTCCAATCGTCACGGCCTGCAGCTTAGAGATGGCTAAATACACAATGCAGGCCGCTTCCTCTGCGACCCCAGTTGACCTGAACATGAGCTTCTCACAGTCTGCTTCCACTGCCTCCACTTCTGCAACCTCTATGGCCGTCCTGGCGGCCACCACCCCAGCCCCCACCACAATTAACGTCCACTCTCCCTCCACCTTACCAGCCATCCAAAACCCACACTACGCCGTCCCCGTTTCCAGCCTGCTTGGCATGAAAACGCTCCCCGTGCTGGCCGTCCACCCAGCAGCCGCTTCCAGCCTAACGCAGGGTTTATGCCCTTACACCGCAAAAATGCCAACCTCCGGCGTCAAAAAGTCAGAGCGGCAGAAGTTTGCTCCTTATTGACACCTGCTTTTGAGCCCAGGCATCGTAGCCGACCGATAGGACCTAATTAAAAAGGATGGCAAGTATATAGGCCTAAAATCGGCTTACGGTGTAAGTTTTCCCCGTGTAACATTTGTTCCCCATAAATCAGGATGACATTAGACAGAGGCAGAAAGGCTGGCAGTATCAAAACATGTTCTCGTTAATTAAATGAGGCAGTAGAGGTGCATATTAAGTCAGTATTATCTCATGGACATGTATAACAATTAATGTGGGTAACTCAGGCTTGTATTCATAAAAAAGCTATTTTTCAAATGGATTTGTGTTCCAGAGCTTTATACGAAGACTTATCCCGATGCAATTATTGACTTAGTTTTCTGTCTGTGTGACTAGTTTTTCCTAGAAAATGTCAACTAGCAATAAAAGACGTGGTGCTTTTGTTGGCAGCAGGCTGTTAAACTTTTGGTTTTTCACTGTAGAAGTTAAGTGCTTTTTTTTTTGTTTTTTTTTAACAAGGATTGTTCCACTCTTCTGTCATATTCCCCTCCCTCTCTTTCACTATAGGCTCTCATCAGTGCTAACAGGCTTGGGTGTTCTGTAGTAGCGTTGCACTGTTGCAGTTCTGATGGGATTATCTTAAAGCCACATTGGATTCTAGTGGATTTCACCCTACACAGTAATCGTGTAAAGCAGGGACTGGCCTGACTAACTCTCGCTCGCTCGTACCGTACACCGGCTTGTTTCTTGTTTATTCTCCAGCCTCGGCGAGTGGGGGAAGGCTTCGACTTGTTTCATCCGAAACGGGGTGCTGATCAGTTATTTAAATAAATGTTTTATTCATGTGTTCCTGGTGTGGCACCCACCCCCCCACCCCACCGCCACCCACCAAAAAAATACCAGAATGCAGATTTATTATGTTTGTTGATGAAATGACTTTGAAATAAATGGGACTTTTTACGAATGCAGATTGGTTGCTTTTGTTCTAATTTTGTTGGTGGTGAAAGAATTCCATGTTTTTGCTGATTTCTCCGAGTCATAAATATAAACCTGGACTCTTGAGGATTTCTCCCTTGTTTACTCGTGGCTTTAAGCCATAATTGTATATACCACACATACCCACTTAGCCGAAATTATGGATAATATCTCAGAGTGTTGAAGCTATTTTGTTGAATATACACTGTTTAGGATTTGTGTTTTTTATTCCCTTTGTAGAAATGAGGGATTCTGAAGCCTTCTGGTGTGATTCAGTTTTCTACACTTGGAAACAAACCTCATAAACAAAGTGATATTAATAAGGTCGTAAGATCAACTTTTATTCTTTATTTTTATCCCCCAAACACTGAATTTGCTTCCACAGATTGTACGTGTAAAACATTCAACAGCTGAAATATAGAAAAAATAGAGGGAGTCCATTAGCAGGACACAGCCACATAGAGACTAGCAGGAGTGCGAGGACAACTCTGCACAAACTACTCCATAGTATTAAGGATGCAGTTTGTTTGTGGCAGAGGGCATGCAGCTCCTGCCCAAACAAACTTTTCTACCTGCACTCTCCTGAAAGAAAACAGAAGCAAAGCTGAACCTCACAGTAAATATTCAACACATGCTGTGGCAAAATTCTCATGGGTGCAAAAAAAAAGAACAAGTTAACCTCCAGTCGTCCGCTCAACCGTGCTGCTAGTGGGCAGGTGGGGGTACAGTGCAGTCACTCCTTGTTTCTCCGTGTCCCTGCCGGCTTGTCCCTCTTTACCCTCGCCCCTTGGCGAATCTGACTTTGCTCCCTTTTCAGTGTAAAAACCCAGGAGGAGGAGGAGGGGAGCACTTCTGTTCCACCTGATCCGTAGCAAGCCACGAGGGCCATTTCCACAGCAGGGCTCCAAATGCTGAAGTGGAGATAATCAATAGTTAATGGGGGCAGAAATGTAATGACAGTGAAGGATGACATTTCAACCTGGGGGAAGGTGTATGTGCACTGAACGCTGCTGCATGTATGTTGATGTGTGCCCAGGGCAGTTATGAGTTCACAGCCAGCTTCTAATGTTATATTAATGATTTCCTTTTTCGACCTGACACAGGCAGGAGTGAGCGGGCCATTGCTGGAGCTTGCTGCCATAATGCAGTTTTGGAAAAAAAAAGCTATTTAGAGGTAAATAAGAAAATAAATAATTTTTTAAAGGTGTACAGGCTGTCGCTCAGGCCCTGATGAAAAACGGCTGCAATACTTTGCAGACTTGCATGTCTGTGGTGCAGAATGGGATTTCTTTTTTTAAACTTCCATCACACACAATAAGTCTGTATGCTAGACTTTTTATTATGAAGCTTCACATTCATAATCCTTAAAGTGAGGCTTTATTCCAGCGTATAAGCAGTAAATATGCAACCAATAGTCTGCTATTATAAATAATATCCCTTAGATTTATATTTCTGAAGCTTTGCTTTATCTTAAAGTTTGTTTGTTTTATCCATATAAGGAATACTTTTTTAGAGACCTGAACAGCATATAGTCTGCTGCTGTTGTTTTACCAACTGGATTTCTAGGATAATTTCTTTGTGTGCTCAGGTAGCGCTACCAGTGATGGAGAAGGTAAAACTACCAAAACGGCTTCATAAAAGGGAACAGAAATCCTACAAATTCACTTTCAAAGTAAAATTAAAAGAGTGGCTTCAATAATCTGAAGTCTAAATGTGCATCCAGCTACTATATAGGTAGACTGTATGTGCATTTACATATAATGTAGCTGGGCAAAGTGGAGTGAATGTGGAAGAACATCAGTTATGGCTGCATCAGGTCAAACTGTCACTCTGCTCAGCTTTGTTCTGTGACCACATAGTTGCTAAGCTAATGGCATTTCCTTTCTAACAGCACCAGCTAAGATAATACACCTGCTGGATATTGTGCTGTGAACAGGTTATCATGGTGGTGTTAGATTTTTTTTTCCCTCAGCTGCTGTGCCCAGGAATTTATCTTTTACTCACAGCTGTCAGGTAAATGCAGTGAAGTATGAAGCATGCTATCTCCTTGGACTGCAAGAAAAAAAAAGTTTTAGGCATGAAAATGAAAATAAAACTAAGCTGAAAATAGGCTAAAACTCACAGCGTGGCGACTTATTGGCGACTTTGTGCTGCTAGTCATTTAAACTCACCTCCCACTGGCAACAATAAATAATGACTAACTAATGTGAAATAATGTCTTAAACCATTTAAGACCTTTTTGGTAATGAAACAGGCAAATTAACAATAAAACGGAATCTCTATGGATTACATGACTATGTGGCACTGATGAACAGCGGGCTGTTGAGGGGATGCAATTCACAGCTTCAGTTAAGATAAATCAGGTAAGAGGAGGAATCTTGGCCGCACACACACACAAAACATCTTTATGCAACAATTAATCAGAATCTTACATCAGGTGCTTTAGTCTTTTTCTCTTCTGGCACCAAATTACCCCCAAAGACCAAAGTGCGCCATGGAAAACGACTCCCTAATTCCAGATAATTAGGTAAAGTCGTTAATCACAGCAGCGAGTGAACCTTCTGAACCGACCTGTGAAACATCCATCGGGCTCACTAATTGACTGCCTGTTGTCTTGGAGCCATATTTAACTGCTCCATCTAGCGGTCTCTCGGCTGAACGTGACGTCGGAGCGCTGCTGCCTCTCTTCTCTCCCCCATTTATTAAATTATTTAATTTTTTTTTTGTCACCGTGAGAAATAAAGTGCCAGTGTAGGGCAGCAACATCAGTAGCGCTTTGAAACCGTGGCTGTTCGCCGCAGACGGAGCGCTCTCACTCACTGCGCCGATGAAAGTTGAGCGCAGCACGCTGATGACCTGCGAGCTTCCTCCGGGGAAACTGTGCATTTGACTGGCTTAACGAGCGCCTGTTCCCATCTCTACACTACACATCATTTGTTGCTGTCTTGAGCTCCGCTGTCCAGCAGGCTGAAGGCTGTGTGTTTGAACCCAGCGCACTCACGGATACGGACTCACTCCGAGGATCACAGGTGAATAAGGATGCATCAGTGTTCCTGTGTGGAGGTTTTTTCTTCTTCTCTTATTTGCTTGTCTTAAATTGCTTGAACGCTCGGGCTTCAGATCAACTTAGTTGACTGTGAATAGGCTAATTTATGTTTTCTGCTCTAATGTTCTTTTGCATTTCCTTGATGTTCCCACTCTCTGTGTCACAGTAAAGCCACCGTGCATGCATTTAATTGCACCTATCACCTAATCCCATGCAAATTAGCTTGATTGGAGAAAACTAACGCAGATTGTCGCAACCTACTGTTGCACCTGTGGCTGTTATTGTAAGTTCATTATGTGTTTTTTTAAATATGTAATATAGGACTGAGGATTTTCTAAGAGAGGTTTCAGACTCTGCTCACACACTTAGGGGTGCACCATCCAGTCAGCACAGCCTTTACCAGCAGAGCCGAGCCGAGCCGAGCCGAGCAGGCAGCCGAAACCCACAATCCAATGTATTCATTATTTAATATATTCATAGTATCCAGAAAAGTAGGGGGTAGGGTCTCAGGATTCTATATGTTTTGTGATACTGTAGGCTTGTTGTTGTTATTGTTATTATTTGGTAAATTCTGTTCTGATTTGTTCATTTTTTTTATTGAAATGCTAGTTCCGTTTTGGGTGTGTTCCAGCTGCATACCCATCACTGTCATCATCATCATCATCATCATCATCATCATCACTTCTCTTTGTTCTTATTGAGAAACACACAAAAAACAGCTTTTTAAATTCTCTTTTCCTTAATATAGTTCCAGCCTCAGACTTTCCCTAGTTGGCTTTGTTGCAAGAGCAAACCACTTACCTTCTTGCACTGCATATAACCTTAAAGCCTGTATGACAGTTTTGCAAGGGCTGTTGGTTTGCATGTTTAGGCAAACTTTCTTCTGATTTGGGTCACTAGTAAGATTTACAGTCAGAGGACAAAATTCAATTAGACAGCCCTGCAGCAATCTTTACTCACTGGCAGATGGCTTTATGCTCTTGGATCCTGCCTTAGTGTCCCTTATTGCTCTAATTGGATTTCATCATTTCACACTGTTTATCTGTATGAAAATGAATTTTAAAACGCAGCATCATTAATTCAATACTCTCTCAGCCCTGTCAGATCCAAGCCCACAAGTCACCACCGCCTAAGCATTTCACATCTCATCCCCTGCGATGGGCTTTGTCATAAATTGAAGCAGACCTCAGAGTAAATTGTTATGTTGATGGCATGTTGGGTTGTTGGAGGAGTCTAACTAGGAGAATCTGTAATCTGTGTGCAATAAATGAAGTGCATGCAGTGGCGAGGGCATATTTGTCTGTCTGAGTTTATTCTAGCCCTGAGGAGATGGTTTTCCTCTCAATGACATCCACTTTGATTTTACATAGGGACATTCGCAGGAGTTGCATTCCCCAAGACAATGTGAATATGATGTTTGCTTATCTGGTAGTGCTGCTTGTCAGACATACATTGTGTACTATACCAGCCTTACACAGAGAACGAAACAAAAAAGGGTGCTGATACTGTAGTCTCGCCACTGCTGCATCCCTTTCCCATCGCTTTCTGTCACCGTGAAGCGTTTCACTGGGATCAGATTTGCAAATTGTCCTATTTATTCTTTTAAATACCACTCCTATTAATTAAGATTAAATGCTAATTAGAAACAAACAGCTTAGTTGGGGTGTAGAAAATTTCTGGAGATGAGCGAGCTGCCTCAGTACATTTGACCCTATTTATAGCGTTATTGCGAGACTGAACAGCCATCAACCGCCCTAACTGAGTGACATCTAAGAAGAAAGTAATAGGGAGGTCAGCCTTTACACAACTCAAGCGCCACGGTTTGTGTTATTGAAACCTTGCCAGTT